ACTCATTCCTAGCATAATATGAGTTGCACTTTCAATTTCATATCCTCACAAGAAATGAATGAATGTACGTGGGGAGAAAACTGTGCAATATGTTATCATCATCATCACCATCATCAAATAGAGAAATGTAGGCATGAAGATCAACTACTGATTCATTCATTTGCACTGTTGTTTCGGTCCAGTTGCTTAGCAACCACACGATATTCCATATCCAGCAAAACTGCAATGGGAACATGGCTTCTGTCCATCCCAGCAACAAAAAGCTGCAATGTAACATGACCTCAATCCGTCCCAGCAGCAGGAAGGATTATTTTAAAAGCCACTGTCAAATGGAACAGTATCCATCCAATGAAACGATAGCAAAACAGCTGTTGACAAAGGCAAGATTGGCTCCTCTATTAAATACCGTACTATCTTGGATTCCCTGCATGGGATTACTGCATACCGAAAAAGGTGACAAATTAAAAAATCAATAAGGGATTGCTTCACATTACACAAATGCTAAAGGTAGAAGATTATTTTGTAAATACATTTATTCATGAATGAGTACTTCTGCAATATTAAATGTTATAATTGCACTGTAGTATCAAAACAGTTGGGAAATATTTTACTTAGAAATTTGGAAGGCATAGTGAAAACAAGATGATTTACAAGGACACAAATATATGGGTAGTTTTAAACTAAAATTAGCCATATTTATCTATCTATCTATCTATCTATCTATCTATCTATCTATCTATCTATCTATCTATCTATCTATCTATCTATACCATATACTATGTATGTATGTATATGCAGCTCTCTGGCATGTTTGAAAAAATATGCTTCAGATATGCTGAAGAATTAATTGTTGGCTACCTATTCCGTCAACGAATTGTTCACCATGGGCCAGTTTTCCCCAAAATTGGAAGTACATAAAGGTTTTGGGCCAAATCATCGTAAAACGTGATCACATGCCCACAGGATGCTGCAAGCATTCATAAAGGCAGGCTGGTTGCTGTCCACCCAACCTGTTGTCACATAGCCGCAAGCGAGCCTCTGACCATCAGACCCTCTGAACCAGGTTGTAGGTATCTTTCTGGAGATCTGTCCTGACTTTGAATAGTCACTTTATGACCGGTCGTAACTTGAGGACTTCCCTGTAGTTCTTTTCTCCAGGTGAAGGATTGACCAGGCCTGCCTTCTCAAAGTTGTTAAATCCAATTCCAATGTTGTCTGTCTGTCTGTCTGTCTATCCGTCCATTCATCCATCATCTATCTATCTATCTATCTATCTATCTATCTATCTATCTATCTATCTATCTATCTATCTATCTATCTATCATCTATCTATCTATCTATCTATCTATCTATCTATCCATCCATCCATCCATCCATCCATCCATCCATCCATCCATCTATCATCTATCTATCTATCTATCTATCTATCTATCTATCATCTATCTATCTATCTATCTATCTATCTATCTATCCATCCATCCATCCATCCATCCATCCATCCATCCATCCATCCATCCATCTATCTATCTATCAAGACAGTTCATCTGAGTTTTCTCAGCATCGAATCTTGGTAGCCCCAAGATTTCTTTCCCAAAAACGACGTTCTGAAATTGTAGTAGGACTTCTTCGGATGTTGCCTCCTCTAAGGTGTTTCTCTTTGATCTTCCTTCTTCCAGATGTTGGACAGCCCGGAACAGAGATTTTTTACATGCCAGCAATGACAGGAACAGGTAAGCACTAGAACTCTTCCCGCACCCTGCGTTTGATTTTTCCCTACCTGGAATGGTGCCCTCTTTTGGGGCCACTCGGCACGTGAGGTTGGGGGTGACTTTTGCAAGCTGGTTCAGCTGTCCCCCAACAGAAGATTGAAAAGCCTTAAAAACATTTGGAAAGGGGGAAGAAGCCCAATGATAGGTTGGATTGTTAATTTTTTTTTTCAATATAAAAATCACCCCATGTTCCTCAACCTCTTGTCTCTTGGCCTCATTTAATTACATTTTATTATTCCCTTTTTCCCTGGGAGCGTTGGGCAAATAGCTGCCCCTTTAGTGCTTTCTCTGGTCTTTTTGCATTGCCACATCTTAACTGCATGGCTTCTAATGACTCACAATTGCGACACAACCACCAGCATGACACCAACAGTACCACCTGCTTAGCTGATGTCCTCTTTTGCCTCCACCCCAACATTGGGGAAAAGGCTGGAGGGAAAACTGTGGAAGAATTTGAGAAAATTTGCATAGCTGGTGGACGGGACCATTCCCTTGGGTCCCCCGGGAACTTGTCCTCAGATTTTATGAGGGCAGTTGGTCCCACGTGACGTTGAAGTTGGGAGAAGACCAGTCCCTCCATTTTGAAGGCTCCCAATAAGGGAGGTGGTAGCCATTCTTCCGTTGACCTCAAGGTTGTCCATGGTCAAGTATAGGATGGGCTAGAGTTTTAAGAACATCAGTTTGGGCAGTTACTAAAAAACATGGAGAAGACAGGTGGAGACATCTTGGTCTCACAAAAGGAGCCCTCAAAATATATATTTTTTTCTTTTACATTTCCTTTCTGTCTTCCTGTTTACACTGAATTCATATTTGCAGTGAAGACATTCAACCGATCAAGGGATCCACCAAAAGGTGAAGGACTTTGCCAATGGTATTGTCCACGTCTTTCAAGGAACATTGAGGAGTCCCACCAAGCCCTCATGACCTCTGGCAGCTAGGATACCACATATATATATATATATTAGCCATATTCAGAGTCACTTCCAAGATGTTCTGAACCATAACATCATGACTACTGCAAAAATGTTGCCCGCCCTTCCCAACGCTTGCGACTGTCACTTGTTCTGTAGAAGAAGGTGAAGAAAGATTGCAGTAATGGCCACCATTCTTTCAAGGGATGGTTGTGCTTTGTGGAAATGCTACCAGTTCTGTCTGGAACAAGGACATCAGAAACACCTCAGAAGAAGTCACTTCTGATGATGATGATGAGGAGGAGGAGGAGGAGGATGACCCATAGGTGGGGTAGATCCAGGTCAACCCTCCTCTCTGTTTTGCCCTCCGGTCAGCATCAATTTTATTCACCAGAGAGGCATCATGAGAAAGGAACACAACAAACATGGGTAACATCTGAACCCACTTAAGCTCAGAGCCCCCTCACAAAGCCAAGATGAAACCATGCCAGCTTCCTCCCCACCTCTTATGCCTTTAGAGTCGATGTGTGCGCCCAACGTGGCACTTCAGAAACAGACAATCCATGCCTTCTCCTGCCTTCCCTGGGAACATCTCCAGAACTTGGGAACAGGCCAGGCGTGGTCTGCATTGCAGGGTTTGGCGGGGAGAGAACTAAACACAACGGGCGTTGTGTGATGTGCTGACAGTTTTATTTCTCCCTTCCCTTCTCCCTTCCTTTGTTTTCTTCCCTCCCACCTCCCCCATTTCTTCCTCGGCACCCCCTTTTCTCTGCCCCCCCCTCCCAAATCTCCCTCCCTCCCTCCCCTCCCGTACCCCCAGGGTTAATCAGTTGTAGGAGCCAGGCGGTCCAGGAAAACCCTAGTTCCAACATGGGGTTGGAGGCCATTATCAGAAAAGCTCTCATGGGTAAATATGACCATCGATGGGACGAGCCCGCTTCGCTCAGTACCAATGCTTTTAACCCTCTGAATGCCAGCGCAAGCTTGCCCGCTGTTTTGCCCGTAACCTCTGCTGATGGACAGATTGACGATCTTCCTTCTTCCACGCCAGGTCGGCCCGGTTGCGTTGACGCGATTAATCCCCCCCCCCTCTGTCTTTCCTCCTGTCTCCTTGTGTGTTCATGTTTTAATGGCGCCGATTTATGCATCTCTGGGTTTGTTTTTATTTCTCTGTGTGTGTGTGTATCAGCGCTTAGCGAATGTAGCCCGGCTTCTGATATAAACCATTGACCGTTGGGCTGTCTCTCCTTTCCCTCGTTTTTCGTTCCATCGCTCCATTTTCCCGCTGTCCGGATGATTTGGTGGTAAAGAAATATTGGGGTGTGTGGGAAATACTCTGGGGTTCACACCCCAGGCAGTCTGGGACAGGGGACAGTAATGCCACCCCTTGCTGACAAAGGATATAGGTACAGGTAGTCCTTGGCTGACTTTGACCATTTGGTTAGTGACAGTTCAAAGTTCGAACTTTTGACTTCTGACAGTTTTTTCACATTTAACGACCGTTGCAGCATCCCTATGGTCAGGTGATCAGTATTTGGCAACTGGCATGTACTTGCGACTGTTGCAATATCCTGGGGTCGTGCGATCCCCTTTTGTGACTTTCTCACAAAGTCAGTGAGGAAGCCAGATTTCACTTAAGAACCGTGTTACAAACTGAACTGCAGCGATTCATTTAACGACGGTGGCAAGGAAGGTCGTAAAACGGGGCAAAATTCACTTAGCGACTGTCTCGCTTAGCAATGGAAATTTGGGGCTCAATTGTCCTAAGCCAAGGACAATACGTATACGCCTCATTCACTTCACAATAGCTTGCAAAAAAAAAAAAATAACATAAAATCTGGTCCGGTCACATGGGTGCCTCGGTTTACGACCGTCATGACTTGCAAGGAAATTACGACCCTTTACGGTTGTAAGTTGAGAACTACCAATTGTGCAAAGTGAAAGCGTGGGTGGTTTAGATCGAAGGGAAACTGCTGTTAGGACGAGGGTGGATAAAACATTTTGAGAGCTCCTGGGTGCTCTCTGAGCTTGCTGGTTTTCTTGCAGACGCTCTGTTACCCAAACTAGGTAACATCATCAGTGTTAGAAAGGATTGAATTTAGGGAGGGAGGGAGGAAAGGAAGGGAAGGAAGGAAGGAAGGAAGGAAGGACTATGGGGTCCTGGGTGCTCTCTGAGCTTGCTGGTTTTCTTGCAGACACTTCGTTACCCTAACTAGGTAACATCATCAGTGTTAGAAGGGATTGAATTTAGGGAGGGAGGGAGGGAGGGAGGGAAGGAAGGAAGGAAGGAAGGAAGGAAGGAAGGAAGG